TCCTCCAGAGACGAGAAGTGCTGAGACGACTCGAAGTGGAACTTTTTCTCCTCGTCCTGAAGGACTTTAAAGTGTCGCACTGGAGTCCATGATTTCACTGACAGAACAGAACAGAGTGTTACAGTGATCTCCTCTGATCTAAACACTACTGCAGTTGGTGAAGTTGATAGTTTTGTCGATTCCTTTTTCTTCAAAAGTGCCAGTTTTTACCTGAGAGGACGTATCCCATGTTCTCATTTTCACTGCGGCGGATGAGAAACGCCCCTGTGCTGTTTTCAGAGCTCATGAGGAGATCTTCAGCCTCAGAGCGAGTGAGCGTCCCAAAGAACCATCTGCAGTGCACAAAGTCAACTGTTTGGGTTTAAATCCTGCACGTTTGCCCAAAAAATAATCCCTGACAAATCGACTCTTCTCACATCAGAGGGTCCATGCGACGGCCGGGAGCTTAATGCAGCAGTCTGACTGATTTTGGTTGCTCCTGTTTAAGTAAATCTAAGTAATTCTACCACTATAAGCCCAATGACATAACACTGCTTTTTTGTTCAAAGTCTTTGGAGGTTTAAAATGCTCCCATGTGATTGACTGTTAAGTTAAAAAGCCCAGCCCCTGCACCCAAGTTTTCACCTCCAGTCCAGAGCCTGTCTCCTCTCACCTCTGCTCCCTCCTCTTCCTCCTCCCCTCCCTTTTTATTAGTTGATTAGGTTATTTTTAGTCTGGCCAGTAGATGGCAGCAAGACAAAAAACAAGGTAACCAGGTGTGTCTCTGTAATCATTTAATTAGGCCCAGGTGTGTGCAAACAAATCAAACCAAACCAAGGAATGTGAGGGGAAACGGAGACACTACTGGTGAGGAAATTTAACTTTAAAATTAGTTTTAAGTTTAAAAGGAACTGTAAATAAATTCAATTTAAGTTTAAAAATGCCGAAAGAGTTAAGTTGAATAACTAAATAGTTTAAATCAGATTTACTACTCTATAAATAAAGAAAATGATGTAAATCCTAAGTTTAAGTAGCTCTAGTTAAATATTATATAAATATATGTTATTTAGCAGTTAAAAAACAATGTATTTATGTATCAGGATTTATCTTCAAATATTACTTTCATATTCATTTAAAACTGTATAAAAAGTTAATTATTGGATTAAAAAATTATTGGTTAAAATGATAGCTATTTAAGTTCATGTGTGAAATGTGCTAGATAAAAAAATACAATAAATAATATATATTATATATAAATGATATTATAATTGAAGTGTATTAATTAAAATTAAATTGGATTATATAACTAATGAAATTGTAAAATGCTAATTTAATTACACATTTGTTTACTTTAAAGGTTTTCGACCTGCTACTGCTACTGCTGCAGCTACAACAGCTACAAATACCACTACTACTACTACTACTACTACAACTAAAAGAAATAACAATAACAATAAAACAATAAAAAACTTCAAGCCGAGTTGAGCCTTGTGTCTGTTTCCCTGTTTTTTTTCAAGTTGGACCTGCATTCCAGAAATAAAGACTTGACAGACTGTATTGAACACTTCTGTACTGTCTAAAACTGTGGTCTTCTGTGAGAACATTTGTGACACCGCTGAAAATACTCGTTTAATACAGCCGCTTGTGATCCTGTTGTCCTGGATTCAGAGGAACTACACTGACAAACTCATGTAAACCTGTGAACAGTGTTGGGAGTGTTACTGTTAAAATGTATTCCCCTACAGATTACAGATTACATACACCAAAATGTAGTTTGTAACATAATCCATTAAATTACTTAAAGTGAGTAATGTAATCTGAATACTTTGGATTACTTGATTTGCTGTAGAGAAGCAAAGACCAAGAAATCCACACATAAGATGTTTTGTCTGCTAAAAGAAAATAAAAAGCCCAGACTTTACTGAACCAAATTAAAAATATTATTGATGGAAGAAGAGGAGGACACACGGTCCATGCAGCATGGTTTAGTCCTGTTTTAGTCCTGGTTTAGTCCTTGTTTTAGCCTTTTTAGTCCTGGTTTAGTCCTTTTTAGTTCTTTTAGTCCTGGTTTAGTCCTATTTTAGTCCTGGTTTTAGTCCTGGTTTAGTCCTGGTTTTAGTCCTGGTTTAGTCCTTTTAGTTCCTATTTTAGTCCTGGTTTTAGTCCTGTGTTTAGTCCTGGTTTAGTCCTATTTTAGTCCTGGTTTTAGTCCTGTTTAGTAGTCCTGGTTTAGTTTAGTCCTGGTTTTAGTCCTAGTCCCTTTTTAGTCCTGGTTTTAGTCCTGGTTTTAGTCCTTGTTTAAGTCCTGGTTTAGTCCTATTTTAGTCCTGGTTTTAGTCCTTGGTTTTTAGTCCCTGGTTTAGTCCTGGTTTAGTCCTTGTTTAGTTCCTATTTTAGTCCTGGTTTTAGTCCTGGTTTTTAGTCCTTGTTTAGTCCTGGTTTAGTCCTGTTTTAGTCCTAGTTTTAGTCCTGGTTTTAGTCCTGGTTTTAGTCCTTGTCCTGGTTTTTAGTCCTTGGTTTAGTCCTTGTTTAGTCCTATTTTAGTCCTGGTTTTAGTCCTGGTTTTAGTCCTTGTTTTAGTCCTGGTTTCCTGGTTTTTTAGTCCTGGGTTTTAGTCCTGGTTTAGTCCTGGTTTAGACCTGGTTTAGTTTCCATCAATGAGTGGAATTACCGAAAAAAAAAAAAAAAAAAAAAAGGGATGGGATG